TTCTCCAATCACGTCTGATCCAAGTTGTTATTCCCACGGTGAAACATGGGGTAGGTGAACGCGTGTCGCTACATCGTTGTTAAGGCACTACTCACAAACTCCCCTGCCAACCAATTGGCTTTCGCGAACGAGGCAGTTGGAATGCACGACGATGCTGTACAGCCCGCTGCTTCTTTGGTGGTTCGAGGGCGTTCTGGTTGCCCGTTCCGGCAGTCGAATCCTTCCGGCGGGAAAGGTAGTGCTCTAAATGCTGCTGCCTAGATGGCCTCGAAATAGCACACCAGCACCTCGTGTTCCCTGTCGATCCCCTTCCTCCCCCCACCACCGCTTTTGCTGGATGGGAAAAGGCCAAGAGCTGCACGAGGTTAAGTGGGTTTAATCGACCTGATTCGGAAGAGGATTCGAACCCCTCTGGGATGAGAGCCTTTTCAGCCCGCGAGCGTGGTCGGTTATCCACAGATAGGGTCTCGTGATGGGTTTCGTTTGGTATGATTGCTCCTTTAGAGATGATCAGAGTGACGCAAGGCTGCGCGAAGGGAATGGCGAGTTTGAATGTCAACTTGCCTGCTTTATTGATACGGAGATTCAACGAGAGGAGAGAATTGCAATTCTGATTGCTCTTCTGTCGCTCAAAGGTGGTAGTGCGCAAAGCGTCCCTCAACTTGAATCTAATAGAAGGGCTTCTCGTGCCTGAAACCAAACTGTATTCCACAGCGACAGCTGCCATTCAACTGGAGCATTAAAGCTACGCATCCCAACCTCAAAACGGGGTAGGGGTGGTTGGCGCCAGGGGAAGACACACATGCAGCCAAGACTTCCGATGCTCGTATCGTTCGAGTTAACAAGTCCGGCATCTTCAAGGCAAACCCTCGAAAGATAACGTTCTATTGGAATGCAAGGCTCTTGAGGATGTCATCATGCATTGCATCCGTACTAGTACAAGGCACAAGGGCCAAGGGGCTCAGACCGCTGCAATCATTGGCGTACTGAGGCACGCGTACACATGAACTTGCAGGACCGAAAACTAGAGCAGGAGTTATCAATGCTTCAGGGCTTGGTGATGCAACCCTTGTAGTTCTGCTGGGTAGCTGCTGTTGTGCCCAACGCTCTGGGCCAATGCCGTTTGCTACCGCGGATAAAGCGACTGCGCGTAACCCTTACAAGTGGGTTGTTGACCCATGGTACACCACAATACTATATTTGTATGAACTTATATTTAGCGCGGGAGTACATCAACTTCCTGCAAACGGTTCAAGATCTGTGCTATGTGCTGTTTGAACAGGCACTTTACGTAGGTATAAAGAACCGAAACACGTGCATGGATTTCCATAATCGACCAAAAACGGCAGCAGGGATAGTATTAATAAGAAGAAGGACGAGAGTACAAATGTCAGAGATGAAAATAATAACATACCAAAGCTACAAAAACGGGATAATACATGTAGTTATCTTATAAGACATGACACATACAGCCCTCCGCCAGGCTAGCCAGAAGTATCTGCCTGGATAGCAAACGCCTCTGCATAAAAAGAACATCAGGACAGATGCTGTATTCTCGGACGGAACGTTGGCCTCTTCTTACTGATACCCTAGTGCTAGCTCAAGTCTGTCTTGATAGTTGAGACTTGGCTGAATAGCGCTCAGGATCTAGAGAATCCATCGCCAATATACCGCCGTCGATCATCCTCCGTAGTTCTCAATCGGGGATAGCACGTAATCCGTCAAACATGTACCCGGTAAACACATGTAAGGCGATGATTAAAGATGAGAAAAACGCGTGAACCGGGTCGGGCGTCGCTAATTGCAGCACAGTATGTGTCTTTGGATGAAGGCAGGTTTTCAGCACACTCAGCGGCAATTAAACACTCACATGGCGAAGCGATGATTACGGATGACGGTAGCGATACTTATGGTTTCAAATTGGAGGAAAATGCACTCTTCTTCTGTGACGAAGGTTTCAGCACAACGTATTGGGTGAATACACACCTAGGCAGCCAAGTATTTATTGTAAAAGATATGTAAGAATGCAGTTATGTTACAATACACAAAAGAGACCCTTGTTCCGGTTCTGAGGAGATCACCCTCTTGTATCTCCGAAGACGCTATGATTCGGATGCCGCGGAACCTCCGACGTGGAGAGGACCTTCGTCATCCTGCAAGATCTCACTCCACCAATCTTCATGACCCTCTTTGATGCACAAGCCATCCCAATCAGACTCCGGCAGCCCTTCATCCTTCAACTTTTCTTTGTCAAAGATGCGTGTGTTTCGCTTCGTGGCATCCGATGCTGGCGCCCAGAACGAGAGATCCTTTGCACCGTTCTGCCCAGAGACCTTGAAGAGCGGCTCTAGAGACTTGGGTTGAGAGTGCAATTCCAGTAGACGCCGAAGATGCGGAAAGAACCATGTCTCTTTCCACCACCCAGAAAGCCTCTGACCCTTGAGACCATTGCGATGTGCGTTGTGATGCACAATGGCTGGGACGGAAGTGCTCCAAAAGTCGGTATAGAGCGGGAGGTCTGCCCAGTCCGCTTGAGTGTCTATTTCTGCCTCGGACAAAGGTGTGCGAATCCCAAGCATATCCTCGGGTACACCGTATACTCGAGGAGGAATGATCACTCGATCTTCAGCCGCTTTTTGAAGTGCGGTGGTATTCCTCAAAATGACGTATTCGCCATCGTCTTCTTCAAAGACGGTCGGAGTGAATAGATCTTGGATGTAGTCAAGGCCGATACTGTAGTCGAAATGATCGGCTTCAATCTCGAGTTCGGCGTCCTGGATGATCTTCCCGGAAGCATGGTATCTCCGTTTGGAGGCCCGCCACATCTCTTGCTCGCCAAACATCTCAGCAAAGATGCCTTGATCACTAAAGATGTTGATGCCTGCAGCGCGCTTCTCCTCGACCTTCTCCTGAGCACGACGAAGCAAGCGACGCATGTCTCCGACAGGACCCATGAAGCTGCCACTGTTGACGTATCGCGGGCGAACATCATGAAATTGCTCAGGATCCTCGTCGGTGTGCGGGCCATACAGATCTTCGCGCGCAGGCGACTCCGGCAGCTCATCACAGTGAGGATCGGAACCAAGGTCGGACTTGGGCCAGCACTTCTTCTGAGTAGAGATGATGATTGACTGCTTGGGGACGAATTCCGTCTTGTTGGACGAGAACCAGGGAGCCGAGATGCCCCATTCCTTGCGGATGCGCTCTTCTGCGGCGAAGTTCTGTGCCATGTACCTGCGAATGAGCAAGGACGGTGGCAGCTGAAACCAAAGGTCGTAAGCGTCGACCACGAGGATCAGATCATCTGGGCCGAGACGTTCGTCCTTAGGTGCCCGGTCTGATGTGATGGCATCGAGGAACTCAAGTGTGCCGTCGATCTTGCCCAAGTGAGAGCCACCAAACCACCCAGGCGACTTGTGAAAGTCTCTTCCCCAGTTGACGATCACAGGGCTCGGATAACCGGACACAAGTGCCGACATGAGCATCTTGCAGAGGTCTGGCCCCGGCCCATCTGCTGGAACTATAACACGGAGACGTCTGGGTCCACCCTTTTGGACGGCTGGTATGGGTGCTATGCCAGTGTGGTTCGACGGAGGCTTTGAGGCAGATATGTTCTCATGACTCTGTTGCGTGCGTTGTCAACTAAGATTAAGGTTGATAGAACCGGAACATGGACTCACAGCTGTGACCACAAGACAGGAGAATATAAAAACAGAAGCTACGAGCCCAAGCATGGCTTTTGGCGACAAACGATGAAGCCATCTCGATGACTTTCTCGTCCGAAACCCCGGAGATGGAGGTGCCTCAAGGTCATCTGCGTAGACCTTGCTGTACAAGGGCGAATGCGGCTTTGTAGCCCAAGGAGTGAAGCCCACCGCCATTCCCTTAAGGCAGATTTTGGACAAAAGAATGATAATGAGAGGACGCCTAAGATCTATGGAATTGCTTAGGCTTGGCATAAATCCATTGGGGAAAGAACGAAGGAGGAGCGCTGCGCAGGATTCAATCCAGGTGACTTGCGCGCGGGCGGAACCAGCTCAACTTTATTGATCCAAGAGCCGTCCCCATCGTCTCAGAGAACGATCTGGGGCTTACGGCCACATCTCGCCATGTGTCGTCGCTTACACGAATCCGCTCCTTCGACAAGGTCATCATCGACTTGGTGGTCATGAGCGCCCAGCCGACTTATTCCCCTGCGGTTGGGCGTAAGACAGCTAAGCCGGGCGAAGACATTGCGTGTGCGATTGGGATCCCGCCTCTGATAGGGCGGTGATACTTGCCCAAGCCAAATCCTTCGTCCCGGACTGTACTTTCAAGTGACTACTAATTGACAATGGGGAAGGGGCGGAAACAGTAAAGCAAAGACTTCCGCCCCCTGTCTCCGGGCGCAATGGCGGATACCGGCAACGCGGAACTTGGCGGAATAGCTCGCGTGAGGATATGGGGAGATCGGTGCTAATATGAAGATCTTGGCTTTACTTGGCTGAGGTTGAATGTAACACAGCTCTGGAACAAGCGCTACTGGAATGCCCAACTGGATCTGTCGACCCAAGCTTTAGACTTCACATCTAATGTCCTAGCTTTGCTACTGTTGTTTATCTTGTTGATGGTTTCTATTAGATTTTGTCTATCTATCATTATATTCACTTGCCTTTTTGTACGGAATTACCCGGCAATGTTCTTGGGCTGTCTGGGTAGCCCAGACCGACTTTGCCGCTGAGAAGCGTGGCACACATCCATCGCACACCCAAATGAAGCTTGCTCCAGCTTGGCTCATTTCCTATTCGACGTCAGGCAGCCCTCATTTGGAACAACTCAGTTCGACTCATCCCCTTGCGTGGAACAGCGCTAATGCTGCGGGAATGTCTCAGCGCCGAAGAACCTGCCTCCCTCGCGGACGAATCTGTACCTAAATTGCCTGCATTTTCCGAGGCAGAATAACGATGACTCCTAAGCCCATTTGATGCCCTTCGAATTGTCATTCAATTATGTCGTTCATTTCAAGACCAATTCGCTGTCGGATCGTTGCCAGCTTGCCCCTGCCCAAAGCCGAAGCCGTACGTCTCCGGCTGTAGCGGCTGAGACCCAAGCGGGCTGCCTGGCTTGCCTCCTTCAAAGGGAGTTCCGAGCAGGTGAGCCAGTCTTACAGTAAGACTCTGGTCTCGGTTTGGTAGATTCCCCATGAGTCCTTGCACCAGATACATCGGGTGGGTTGTCGCACCGAGTAGCGACTGTAAAGCCTGAAACACAATCAGATAGTGCTCGGTACTCACTGCAGGGCGATGTCTTACCTGCGCGTCCTCGTTCAACGCAAACCCCGGTATCAATGAGATACCGCCACCAGTGCCGCCCACCAGATTTTGGGCACGCATGGTGTTCCGAGCATCATCCACTGCGTATTGCACTGTCCTTTGCAGCATGGCACACGCGGTCAGCACGCGCTTCAAGTCACACCCCTCTGTCTTCTCAAATCTCTGTAGGAAGCCAGCGAATGATCTTGTGGCCCCGAGATCGCTGCGCGCGCGAGAGGAACCAGGGTTCTCCAGTACATCCGTGAGAAGAGTCATGCTTGCGCAAAGAGGATAGCACAGGATTCGCCTAAGAGATTGATGTCAGAGATTTGTCTCCCTTGAGTAACATTCGGAGTCCTACCAGAGATCTGAGTATTGCGGTGTCGAGATCGTTCTGAACAGTCCCAAGGTCGCATGGGCAGCTGTCCGGCACCGTTTCTGGGAGAACGAAAGCTGAATATAGGGCATCTCGAAACCTGCCGGTGTTCCCAAGAGAACGGCCACAGTCTTGAACTGGCTGTGTCGCCTCGCTGCCCAGTGCACCATAAGTGTGCAGCGGTAAAAGGCCAGATGTAAGTTCAAAACGTCCGGAGCAAAGTCTTGACCGGATTTAGGGGAGTCGTAGGTTGGCTGAAGATCTGCTGGCAGACTGGACCTCCACTCTTCGAGCAGAGCATCAAGATCTATGATGGCCTTGACCACATCATCGTCGTTAAGTCGCAGTCCTTTCGCAGTGTAAAGCCGCCGTCTAATGGAGGATTCAACCATGGCGAGTTTGGCACGCAAGTTGAGAATGTCTACACCCTCTCCCAAACCTATCGGTAATTCCGTCTCAATGTCATCATCATCTTGGATCGAGTCCAGACCGTGATTGAGCCCCATTTCCTTGTCAAGGATATATGCGGCCCAGAATACTCGACTGCGTGCTTCCACATCTTGCATACACATCGACATCATGGTGCAGGGCTGCCTATGAAGTCCAATGTTCTGCGATAATCTTACCGCATCAGATGAAAGTAGAGCTGCCGTCCTTGAGCACGTCGTCCCCTGCATAAAAACAGCCATTGCCACAACAGCTTGAACCGACAGAAGATCGTCGCCTTTGACCATTAGTTCCGTGAGGACTGAGAAAGCATTCTTCAAAAATGGCCATGCCAGTTGGCATACTTCCTGGAACGCGCTATTGATCGTCTTCCACCGGGTCCCAACGGCAATGACCGCGTTCATATACGCCCAGCCTGAAGTACTGTTGAACGAATCCTCTGCATTCGGAACAGTTTCAAATCGGTTCACAAAATAGTGAAAGTTGAGAAGTGGGTAGTTGCTTATCACGTCGTCGTAAAGGGGCATCAGCATCGTGATAGCCTCTTCTCGATCGAGACGTGGAGTAAAGACCTGTCTGTTGAACGTGGAGCAATACGACGCGGAGTTAACTTCCTTGATTCTGCTCGCAATGACTGCGAAGACTGGCATTTTTGGTCCCAACGGGTTCGGTGGGTCGGGAACATGTTGAGTTGCAGCTGGTTTTGGCGTAGGTTGATCGGATGAATCATTTGGGTCGGTTCCGTCAATCATCGCATGGTCCGTTGACATTTGATTGAAGGAAGTTTGCAACGCATCTACTCGCGACGTGCCCGCTTGACTAGGCGCCGCAGGTGCGCTTGGGAAACCGGGTGGCGCGGGAGCCACCGAGACGGAGGCAGCATCAGTCTCGGATGGCGAGACTCTGGTGGGCGGTGCGCCAGGCCGAGGCAATCCAGCTTGATTAAGGACTGCTTCCATCTTGGAAAGACGCTCCTCAAGAGCCTGGATGTACATTTTGCTTATAATTCAGTCAGTATCTTCCTGGAAATATGCGAAGATGAAACTCCACAGCAACGCTGCAACGTACCTTCGGCCGGGGCCACGCCGCCTTTGCACCTGCTGATACTGGCAATCATGGCTGCGATTTGTGCATGGAGTACATGATGGTTGTTTTCCATCGCACTTGATCTTCTTTGACTGGCATCTTAGACAGGCCTAATATCAGGTGGTCAGCTGATATGGACAAATAACATAAAGACGCCTGCCTGTCACCACAAAGAGTGGCGCATACCTGTCCAATGCGTGCGGCCTTGTCTCGTGCCCGGCTTTCCAGGACAGATGCAGTGTCCATGGCGGCCGACAACTACTAGCGCCACTGCCTGATGCCGTTCGCCGAGTTTCGAAAGGTGTTACGGGAACGCGTCCGATGTGCCGGATGACAGGGACCCACTTTCCCGGCCCGTCGGCGATGTGCTGAGTCCGCTGTGCTTTCGGACGCGGAAAGATGCCGGAAGCCCGCTACGCGAATTGAAAGTTTCAGCAAGTCGGCGGAAGCAGAACTGGGCAAAATTCGAGGGCACTCCTAACGGAGGTTAGCATTCGAGGGACGTTGAGAGGAAGTAGTTTCATGATTGGCCCGGTCACGTAAGAACCGGAAGCAATTTGGATCCGAGTCATGACCATTAGGTAAGTTAGCAACGGCACAGCCGAAGGAACTTCCCGAAATCAATCTATCCCACGTGGAATAGCGCTCCTTTCCTGCCCTGTCTGCTCCGCCCGCCGGCTTGAGCATTGGCGGAAGCATTTTATTACCGAACGCATGCTGGCGGACTTTCACCATGTTGTCAGTTGCCAAGACAGTCGCATTGCGATAGCGCGTTCAATACTACGGATTAGGTGATGGCATTCAAGCAAAAGACTCCGCCCGACCAGCGGAATCAATTGCGTTGAGTTTGAAGCCGCATGTGTGTGACTATTTAGACAACAGACCCCTCAGACCAGGACTGAATGGACACGGCTGATAAAATAAAGTAAAAAGCGTCTAGAGTACCGGTCGATTCATTCCCTTCTACGTCAACCCACAACGTCTCGAAATAAATTCCAGAACGTCAAAATGGCTATTATCGCAGTTGCCGGTGGAACAGGAAATGTTGGGCGAACTATCGTCGAGGCCATTGTTGCTGCTGGTAAACATGAAGTTAAAATTTTGGCCAGAAAGGTAAGCACGCAGAAACAGCTTTGAGTATTTCAGTCTCTTTGTTGCGAATAAGATGTTGACAGAGGCCAAGGCCAACCCCGACTTGGAGAAGGAAGTTGGAGCTTCCATAATCGTTGTTGATTACGCAAATGTCGAAGCCACCACCAAGGCTCTTGAAGATAACAAGGTGCACACCGTCATCTCGGCAATCAACATGATGCCTCTGCCGGGACAAGCGCCGCAGGAAATCGAGCTCATCCGTGCTGCGGATGCTTCGAAGACGACTAAGAGGATCATTTCCAGTGGCTGGGGCATTCCCCACAACGAAAGGTCTGTACTCAACCCCTTACAGTGATCAACGACTGCGACTGACATGCAGAAAGTCAAATCAAAGAGTTAGGGTCGGTTCCTAACAAGCTCAAGGCTCGGGCCTTTTTGGATAACGAAACGAAGGACCTGGAGTATGCTGTCGTTCACAATGGTTTCTTCCTCGATTACTGGGCTCCTCAAGCAGAGAAGTCGAACATGACACCGTTTACTCTCTTTATCGACATTCCCAATGACTCTGCAGCCATTCCCGGATCAGGAAACGTTCCGTCAGCGTTCACTCATACGCGGGACGTCGCCAAATTTGTGGCAGCTGCTCTGGACTTGAAGAAGTGGGACAACGATCTTTTTATCGTTGGAGACAAGGTGACTTGGAATGAGTTCCTGAAGCTTGCGGAAGACGCCAAAGGTAAGTCTTCGATTTGTAAAGGGCTGCCGCATAGTTTACTAATCACCCCAAATCATAGGCACAAACTTCAACGTCGCTTACGACAGTGCCGAAAAGCTCAAGGCTGGCCAAACAACAGAGCTTCCTGGGCAGATCCCAGCCTATCAATTCTTCCCGAAGGAGGCTTATCAGGCGCTCGCTGGAACGTTTGGATGGTGGTTTGAGAATGGTACCTTTGATATCCCCCCTCCCGGAAAGCAGACTCTGAACGAGATCTTCCCGGAGATCAAGGCATGGAAGGTGAAGGATATCCTTAACAAGGCCTGGAAGAAGGTATGAGTATAAACGATGAGACTGGATTATTCTCAATGTAGACATCAATGAGTCCATATAACAACTTTCATGGTTATCAGCTGGGGTATGAGTTAAATAGTCTCATGCGGATCTATGTTTATTCGAAAGCTCCTCCCCTTTAAGATGCACCGAAAGAGCCATAAAAGTAGACTTCAAGACAGCCTACCATGCACACCCTGCGCAATGCAGTCGGCAATCACCACACAGATCTTGATTCCCAAGGGCTTGCCATTTTCTAACATTCAGTTCCATGGCACCGGGAAACGAGGTTTGTGTATTTATGTAAGAAACAGCCGACCACGTTGCATGTCTTTGGAATTACTCTGACTCGTTGGCAACGTATTCGCCTAATCAGGTTTCACTGTGGAAGCGAGTCTCACCGGCCAGTCGCAGGCTCCGCGAAACATCGGCAAACGAGCCTACGCGGCGCATTGTGTGAAAGAATGGCTGTGATAGGCCTTGCAAACACCCTGAAAACTCTATTCAAATTGGTTCAAGACTTTGGTGGCAAAGCACTCGGGGTTTGGTAAGAATGTGGAAATTCGTGGGGTCGCTGTCGCGCTATATAGGCTAATTAGGTGCAAGGTAGTTCCGATGGCATTTAAGCTTTCTTCGTGGGTACACACGTCTCTGGCGATAACAAAAGGCAGTCATACCAAAGATGCTTTCTAAGAAACAAGGAGTCTCCCCGTGGTGATCATTGGTGTCTGTCTGTCAAAATCAGATCAGAAATCGTTGCTGCAGCCTGCAACACTACCTTCAACCCGACGCTTCGGAGAGTTCTGTCATTTTCCGCTACAAGCTTTCCTGGCAGCCCTCGAATCCATGAATCCGTCCAAAGATTGCAGTCTGGATGATGGATTGGCGGGGGTACCCCATGCGGGGCGAGAAAATAACGAGCATCTCCCTGCAAGAGGGAACCTTGCAATCTCGGAAAATGCCCTCTACGAGAATCAACAACTGATACGTTCTAGCTGCCTTCTGTCTGGCTCTGACCCCGGCAATAGTCGCCTCAAAGATGGAGGGGGCCAGATTTCATAAAGACCAAAAACCCCTCTGTATTTGTAGAGAGGAAAGAGAAACACTTTCAAATTGCTTTGTTCGTTCGCTTAACATCCTATTAACTAGTTTTGACAAGATGCTTGAGACTTTGATCATCTCGCCGAGCTTCGGCTCTTTGTATGCTTTGCTGGCATGCCTCGCCTTTTTCATCTTGCTGGAAGCAGGCAAGATGGTGTACTCTTCCAAGTTTCACGCCCTTAAGAAAGTTCCAGGCCCCTGGTTTCCTGCAGCAAGCTCTCTCTGGATTCGTTGGCAACGATGGCACGGCAAGCTATCATTCACCGCCGACGACCTCCTCAGGCAGTATGGTCCTGTGGTGCGCATCAGCCCCAACATGGTCCTCGTCAATGATTCTCCATCTCTTCAAGCCGTCTTCGCCAGACAAGATCTCGACACTGCCCCCCGCGCCATCCGAGCTCTGCGTATTGGAGGCCATGAGTGGACAGTCACGTACCCTCAGAACAACATCGCACGCGAACGCCGTCGGCCCGTCATGTTCGCTACCACAACCAAGGCAATGAAGTATTGGCATCCTATCTTTGAGGATAATGTCAACATGATGGTCCGCAATCTGGGTACTTCGAAAGGCGAAAAGTCCGAGGACATTGTATATCATCTCCGTGTTGCGACTCTGCTCAACTCCCAGGTTGTCATGGCAGGTTCCCAAGCGAAGATCGATCCAGGCGACTTCCCTCATATTGTCGGAGAATACAACTTTCTCGTCGTCTGGCGTTTGTGTCTGCCGAATTGGCTTTTCGAATGGCTGAAGTTCACTCCGATTGCTCATCCAAAGTTTCGCGTCGAGTCAAGCGACAGGCTGTTCGAACTGGGCTCGCAAATTTGTAAGGAAGCCGAGAAGGTTGATCCTGTGGATCGCGACGAAGTTCCGACTGTCTACCAGCTTCTCATGGAGAAGCAGGAGAAGGGAATCAACTGGTCTCACGACGAGATAAGCGCCGAGATGGCTGGCCAGATCCTCGCTGCTACCGAGACCACCTCGTCCGCTCTGGCATTCATCTTCTACGAGCTTGCAAAGAACACCAACCTTCAAGAAAGCGTAGTCGAGGAGATCAACACCCAGCACAACAATGAAAATCTTGAAAGCCTTAAGCTTCTGGGTGCCTGCGTCACCGAGGGCCTCCGCTTCCGACCTCCTGTAGCCCTGACCGGAAGCCGAGTTGTCCCCAAGGGAGGGATCGACGTCCTTGGTTACTATATCCCAGAGGGCACGGTGGTTACCACTCAGTCTCTGTCCATGAGCCGACAGAGACCCGACCTGTTCCCCAATTACGACGTCTTTGACCCGACACGCTGGCTGGAGGAAGAAAACCTCATCGAGCG